TGGAGATAGGGAGGATCATAGTTCCAGGCAAGCGATGGGGTGTCAGGGAGAATAGTTTATGAGACTCCATGTCAGTGGAAAAAAGCTGGGAGTGTCATCCTAGTTTAAAATAGGAAGATCACGGTCCAGGCCAGCCTGGGTAAAAAGCTAGACTCTGTCTTCAAAATAACCGATGCAAAAGGGTGAGAGACGTGGCATAAGTGGTAGAGGGCCAAGTGTGAAGCCCTGAATTCAAACCCCAGTACCACAAGAAAAGAAAAAAAAAAGCACGTCGTTTTAACACATTTCTTAAAAAGTGATGTCAGTGTTACCACTTTATTCCTTTATGATTTGACCTTCTAGTATTTGACAGAACTGTGTGTGTTTTATATACTGTTAAACACTGTGGTATATTGAGTTTATGTATTCCAGGGGTTTTCTATCTCACTGGTTGATTTTCATTTTCCTTTCAGTGCTAAACCTCTGTTGTAGCTCCTTTTGTTTTGCCCGATAAATGTGCTTGAGCCGAGACTTGATCCTGGGTTCTTCCTCTGCTTATACTTTCCTCCCTGGGTAAACTTATCCAGTCCCTTGGCTTTAAATATTATTTATATATAATGACTCCCTAGTATGATATCTCTACTTATGGCCTCTTGAACTCTAGACCTGTTTATCCAGCTGCTTTCATTTGGATGGCTGATAGGCACTTCAAGTATAACATATCCCAAACAGTAATTTTTTTTGCTTTAAACTTTCTGTCTCTCCAAGGCTGTCCCATTTCAGAAAATAGCACCACTGGCCACCCAGTTGCTCAAACCAAAACCTAAGATCATTCCTGATTCCTTTCTTTTTCTTAAGCCCTGCAAAATGTTGACCATGAAAAGTTTTGTTAACTATACCTTGAAACATGTTTTAAATTCATTTTTCTTAATTTCTGCATCTACCTCACTGGTCCAAGCTACTAGTATTATCTCGTTTGGATACAGGCTATTTCACTAGCTGCCTTCCTGGTCCCTGTGGTTCCCATCTTGCTCTATTTCAAATCTTTTCTATATTGAACAGCCAGAGTGGTTTTAAAATAAATGTTAGTTGGGACTGGAGGCATGGCTCAGGTGATAAAGTTCCTGCCTAACAAGTGCAATGCCCTGAGTTCAAACCCAAGTACTTGCAAACAAACAAACAAACAAATAAATAAATAAATAAATCAGATCAAATTATTCCCTTACCTAAATCTCTGTGGGTCTACTCTGCCTTACATAAAATGCCATGGTTTGGCTTCTCTGATTTAATTTCCTGTCACTCTCTCTCTGGTTCATTATGTTCTAGATAATATTTGTCATTTTTATTCCACAAACACACCAAATTCATTTGTGCCTTAGGGCTTTATGTTACCATTTTTACTTGGAAGGAACATATCCCAAATAGTTGTTAGCTTTTACTGTTACTTTAAGTCTCAAAGCATATGTCACTAAGAGAAAGGCCTGAAAGGCCTGCCTTCATCTATAAGTCTAAATTCATTCCTCCTGCAATGTAAACATGCTGTATACCTTAATGTCCATAAAAACATGAAACCCTTATTTACTTGGTATTTTCTTATTTATTCATTCTCTAGATAATTAGTTTGGTGAGGGTGGAAATACCCCCCTTTTTTCAGTGCTGGGACTCGAACCCATGGCCTTGGCCATGCTAGACAAGTGCCGTCACTGAGCTACATCCTTAGCCCCAAGGGTAGAAATCTTACTTGTCACATTCACTGTTGTCTTTATTAGTACCTAGGATGATGCTTGGCACATGTTCCTCATAAATGTGTGCTAAATGAATTGATGAATGTTTGGTTTTAGATTGAATATATTGAATGGAGATTAAAAATGTAGTTTCTGCCCAACCAAAAATAGACAAAATTATTTTTATGACTTAACATTGACTATTTTTTCATTTGCTGCTTAAGGTGACTTTAGAGCACAAACATGGATACATGCATACGTATTTGTGTGTGTATATATATTTTATATGTGTAAATATATGTATATATAAAGGCAAACATCTGTATTTTTATCACCCAGAATTGACCATTAGCATTTATCATTTTGCATTATTATTTCCACCCAAGTCATAAATAATTAAAATGGAATTCTTAAACTATCACTCTTAGTTCAATTTCATGGAACTTGATGAAACTGCTGTTGCAAATTTACATTTAGTAGGTATTTTTCTGGCTCACGTTTTTTGTGGTACTTGAGCTTTTCCCAGGGCTGACCTCTGACTGTGATTCCCCCCATGTCTGCCTCTTGAGTAGCTAGGACCACAGGTGTCTACTGTTGTGCCTAACTTGTTTATTTTTTGTTCTTGATTTTTTTTTTTTTTGGTACTAGAGTTTGAACTCAGGACTTTGCACTTGCTATACAGGCGCTCTGTCGCTTGAGCCAGGCACGACAGCCCCTTTTAGTGTTAGTTATTTTTTGGGTAGGATCTTGTGTTGTCCTCTGATTGTCATGATCCCTTCTACACACAGCCTCCCAAGTAATTAGGATTATAGGTATGAGCCACCATGCCCAGTTCATTTGTTGAGATAGGGTCTTGCTAACTTTTTCCCCAGACTGGCCTTGAACTGCAATATTCCTTTGCTTCTTGAGTAGCTGGGATTACAGTAGTGAGCTACTGTACCCAGCCTTCAGCTTGTTTTTTGAGATGGGATCTCACTAACTTTTCTTCAGATTGTCCTTGGACCATGATCCTTCTATCTCTGCCTCCATAGTAGCTGGAGTTACAGGCATGCATCACCATATCCAGCTCTGCTTCACTTTTCATTATTATGAACATATATGTCTGTATGTATATACGTACATGATACGGTTTTGTGTTTGTATTTATGTTACTGTATAATACACTTTTTTCTTTTTAGATTAACCTTATATTAAGTTTTTAAAAACTTATGATTATTCTATTTTGTTAGTGATTATTGTCAATGTCTTACCGTGCCTAACTTATAAAATAAACTTTATTATGGATATGTATTTGCAGGAAGAAAACATAGCATAGTTAGGGTTCAGTGCCATCTACAGTTCCAAGCATCTACTGGAGGTCTGGATCATATGCCTCACGGGTAAGGGGGAACTACTGTCTGTCCACCACAGATACTGGATCAGGTCCTGGCTTTAGCTAGTAGAGGCTTTGCTAGCAGAAATGCCTGCCTTTGAAAAAGCAAGCTGGGCACTGTGGTCAGCGACAAGACCTCCATCCTCAGGTCCTCTTTGCTTATTTTGGAGGTCTTCTGGTGTTTATGCTCTTAAGTCATTCCTTTTTAACATCAGTATAGTAATCCATGCCTCATTATCATTCTTTTAGTTATCTTGCCTGTTGTAAGAGAATGTTTTGCTGTTACAAACCCAGCTCTCTTATGTACCTGAGACAAAAATATTTTCCACTTTATGTACATATTATTGAGCCAATTTATGGTCTCAATAGATGTGAGAAATTTGTCTAGATCATGATGATAAATGATATTTTCAGATGTGAAACATTTTTGTCAACCTGGTGGTTGGAAAGCTGGGCTGTTGTTTTTGTTAATTTCCATTATTGGTATGGTTGAGTATGCGTTTAATGACCATTGGAATGTCATCATCTGTGAAGTGCCTCATTGCTCCATCCTTTACCCTTTTTTAGGGATTCTTTATATATCTTGCTTACTAGTGTTTGCTATGTATGCTGTAGATACTGTCTCCTAGACTACTTTCCTGTAACCCTGTTTGTGTTATGTTTTTTTTTAACATAAAAATTTTTCTCCCTTTTTTTCCTTCTTGATCATTTGTGCTAGTTTTTGCAAAAATAGGAATGAAAGAAGTAGAGTTATACCTGGCATCTGGAGCCATAGAACATGAGAGGGTGGCTGTTGAAACAAAAAGTTTGGAGTATCATAATTCCAGAGTATTAGGCATCTTTAACAACTTACAGTTGTTAATGATGTAAATTGTTTTCACTAAATATTCAAACTTCATAATTTTTAGTGGTACAGAGTTATGTTTTTCTATGAATTAGAATTATACTTTTTCTTTGGATAAAATGCTATGATAATTGTTTAATTATAGGATTCATCTTTAGTGGTCATCTGGCACAGTCTCCACTACTGTCCAGACATAACTAATGCCTTCTGCAGTGATAACTGGTGAATATTCATGTGTGAGAAGGGAAAAAATATTATAGATACATTTTCAGGAAAAATGTATACATACTGCAGATTAGGTAACTTCCCACTATCACATTATTTTTAACAGCTGTGGATTTAGACATTTTTGTAGTTAAGTTTGATTAACTTACAAACAAACTATATAGTATATTTTAGTTCTTGTTATTATTACTATTCATGTTATGAAGGTTAAATTCAGAAGTGGAGGTTTTTAGTCATATTTCCAAGTATGATTATGAGACTCCAAATTGGAATTTTTATTAACTTTTATTAATCATTGTCAAAAGATATAATTATGAGATGTACTTATATCCACTAATGTTTGTCATCTACTTACTGTAACAGTGCGCAGTGTTTTTCCTTCTTCCTCCCTTCATTCCTTCCCTCACCCCTTCCTTCCTTCCCCCGTCCTCCTTCTCCCTTCCTCTTTTCCTCCCTCCCTCCTTTCCTTCCCCCTTCCCTTCCCTCTTTCCCTTCCCCCTCCCCTCCCCTCCTCTCCTCTTATCTTCCCCTTCCTTTCTTCCTCCCTCCCTCCCTCCTTCCTTCCTTCCTTCCTTCCTTCTTTCCTTCCATGCTGAGGGTTGAACACAGGGCCTCATACATGCTAGACAAACAGTGTATCATTAAGTTATACCAATGCCCAACAGTGTGCAACTTTAATTGGAGTTTTGAATATTATGCTCATAGTGAAGAATAATTATTTAGTTCTTAATAAAGTAATACTGGAAATTAAAAGAGATGTTTGATTCCCTTCACATTTTAATTAGAAATATCAAAAAAGTATAAGCATAAAAGTTTTTTGCTAGCTATTTGATCATTTATTTTTATATTATTTTAGGTTTGCTGTAATTATCTGCAGGAATCGCCATGACCCCAGCTCTAAGGGAGGCAACAGCAAAAGGTATCTGCTTTCCATCTTTGCCAAGTACCATGGAGTCTGACAAGATGTTATGCATGGAAGGTCCAAGAACTGTAGATGAAAATCTAAAGGGAGACACTTTCTCTCAGATGCTGGGATTTCCAACTCCTCAACCTAGTCTTAATGCTAATTTTGTGAATTTAAAGCATTTTGGTTCTCCCCAGGCTTCAAAACATTATCAGACAGTTCTTTTAATGAGTTCTAATACTACATTAAATAAATACAGTGAGAATTATAAACAAAAGAAATCAGGGGAGTCCAACTGCAAAAAGTTGAAAAATATACTGTGTAATGGCAGCAACATTCAGCTCAGTAAAATCTGCAACTCTCATTCTGAAGAGTTCATCAAAAAGGAACCTCTATCAGATACTACAAGCCAGTGCATAAAAGATGTACAAATTGTGTTGGATTCAAGTCTAACCAAAGACTCTAATGTAGATAAAATACAACTGCAAAGCTGTAAATGGTACCAAAAGAGTGCACTTGTTGATAAAGTTACTGATGCTGAGATTAAAAAGGGGTTATTGCACTGTACTCAAAAGAAAATTGGACCTGGCCACTTAAGTGTACCTATTAGTTCTTCAGCTGCTGAAAAAGAGGAGGAAGTGAATGCTCGTTTACTTCATTGTGTAAGCAAACAGAAACTTTTACTTAGCCAGGCTAGAAGAACTCAGAAACATTTGCAGATGCTCCTGGCAAAGCATGTTGTTAAACACTATGGTCAGCAAATGAACTTTTCTATGAAGCATCAACTGCCCAAAATGAAGACCTTTCATGAGCCCACTACAGATTTGGATAATGGTTTACCTGAACGCACTGAAATTAAGCCAGAAGTCAACATATTGACTACAGAGAATAAATTGTGGGATGATAAAAAAAATGGCTTTGGTCGGTGTACAGCTGCAGAAATCCAAAGATTTGCAATGTCTGCTACAGGGCTGTTGTCTCATGTTGAAGAGGGTCTGGATTCTGATGCAACTGATAGCAGCTCTGATGACGATTTGGATGAATATACCATTAGAAAAAATATGGCAGTGTAAGTGCAAAATTATTATTAGACCTTTTCTGTTCTGTATATAATAACAGTTGTCTTGGCTTCAAGATGTTAAGAGTAAATACGTTTTCTAAAGTCTTAATGCCATAATCTTTAATTTATAAAACCTTGGCAAATTTTCCTTACATATTTCATTGTTATGCTATTGTATGAGACAAATCTGCCAAGGATTGGTTTCAGGACCTTCTGTAGATATGATAATCCACAGACACTCAAGTTCCTATATAAAATGGTATAGTATTCACACCCACACATATCTTCCTGTATACTTTAAATCATCTCTTGATTACTTATAATACCTAATACAATGTAAATGTCATGTCAATAGTTGTTATACTGTATTGTTAAGGGAATAATGACAAGAAAATATCTGTATGGATGCAACTTTTTCCTGAATAGTTCTGATTTGTGGTTGATTGAATATATAGACAAAGAACCTGTAGATATGGGAGGTCTGACTGCACATACTATTTAAAATTATGTTAGTCAACTGTTCTATCTAGGAGAAAGTCATACAGAAATAGTAATACTAATTGCTGTAAGTAAGCATTTTTTCTATTATTGAATATAATAGAGGGTTAAATCTTTGTTTAAGGTACTAGTCAATATAAATAAAACGAAAAAGAAAATGATGTCTGCATATAGGGAGCCCTCGTAGATTTTGGGAATCTATCAGTTGATAATACATGTAAATGGACCAGAAACTTCTCTTAAAAACTGTTTACATACTCATTGTAATATAGCTTTCAGCTTTGGCCTTTACTTACTCAGTTGTTGCTAGCTTAATATAACTGAAAGAAAGTTGTAATGTCAGCTGTAAAGTACCTATTGAGTGCTTGTTAGGTTAGACACTAGAATTTGGTTGTAGGCAAAATATTCACAGTATCTGCCTGCTTGGTCATTTACTTGAGACAGATCTCTCTTTCATCATCTATATAAATGTGAAGAATAGTTTTGTCACACCATAATACTCCAGCACGGCTCTAATAGATGTTTCTGAGATGGTGACACTATCCAGTAGGCACTAGCCTTCCTTGTGGCTACTGAGCTCTTGAAATTTGGCCAGTGATTCTGAGGAACTAAGTTTTGAGTTGTATTTAATTCTAACTTAAATAGCCAGATGTAGCAGTTTTTAATATAACTATCAGGGAATCTGTTAATGTCTCCAAATCGATAGACATCACTCTATAACTGCAGTATTTTGGGTGAACAAAGTTACTACTTTTTCAAATTCTCAAAAATGAGTGAGAATCATTACAGCATTAGAAACCAGACATGTTAATTTTTACTTATTAATATAAGGTCAGCATATTAATTTTTTATAGTATTGGGATTCAGCATGTTAGTTTTTATAGTGAGGAGTGAAATGTAGAGCAAAAAGAGCGTTCTAATCACTTGGAGTTCTGATACCACAGTAATTGAAATTTGTTTGAATGTGGAAGCTATAGTATTTATTGAGCATAGGTTATTTTTGTGGATTACATTGTCCTTGTTACTTATGTGTGATACCTCATGTAGTTCTTCTAACAACCCTGGAGGTAGTTATTATTATTCTGATATCATTGAAGAAGAAACAGACTCAGCATAATTAAGTAACTTGCCCCTGGCCAAAAAGCCAAATAAGTTGGTAGAGCCAGGATTTTCCCTATATATGTGTAACTCTAAACTAGTTCTTTCATATTATGCTACTTTCTTGTTTTATTTCATGCTACTTTCTCAATGTTACATCATTGATTCTAATAGCTGTAAGACTTATTACCATATATTCTAAAAGAAGTCCAGAAATTTAAAACACTTTTGTAGTAATTCAATTTAATAAAATTTAGTAAGTAAATTTAGCAAATTAGGTATTTACTTTTTTGTTGTTGAGAAGAGCTAAAGAACAGGTTTATCTCTTTTAAGCTAGAAACAGAAATAAGAAAATTATGTCTTCCTAGACTATTTTGACCTATGAAACTATTTTTTATTAGTATTCTCTTCCATTGTTCTCTTATACCACATAATCTGCCATACAGTTTATCATTAATTCATCTTTTGTCCTTTGTGGTTTGCTAATAGATTTATTAATCTTAATAACCCAACCCCAATTAAGGGTAGAGGCCACATTTAATAATTTTTGTTAATTTCTTATGTCCCATGCATACAATTATTGATTCATCAAAATTATGCTTTAAAATTTTCATTTACTTATTGCATTTAGTGAGATAACAGTTTATGCATAAATGGGAAAACCAAGCTATTGAAAAAGGTTTTATATGAAACATCAAACAATATACATCCCACTCTTTTCTAGTGAACTCTGCCAGTTATTGAGGAAAACTGAAGAAAAGTAGCCTAGAAAAAAATTGGGTTCCCATTTGGAAAGTTTACTAATCATACTATCTTTTCTATAATCACCTGGTAGGCCTTCAGAGATTTGAGACATACATTTTAAGAAAATAGTCTAAGAAGTTTAATGGAAGCTTCCAGCATCTTTAATTTTTGACCTTTTATTTTATAATGATTTGTTTTTTTAAAGTACATATCTGTGTTTCTAGAAGTCAGATACACTTTGTTCTAACGTCATGTGTGTAAGTAGTAATCCTAAATTTATATATCTCAATTCTTTAATTTACTGACTGTTTGATAATTATCTAGGTTTTATGTTGTTTGTTTGTTTATTTTTGCTACTTGAAATCTGTTCAACATTTCTGGACTGTTTTTTTTGTTGTTGGGGGAGAGTTGAGGCAAGTTTTTCCTAGATAGCCCAGGCTGATCTGGAATTCAATCTGTAGTCTAAATTGGCTTTGAACTTGTGATCCTCCCATGTCCATGTCCTGAGTACTGGGATTACAATTATTAATTACCAGCCTCACCTTCAACATTCTTGATTTTATATACTTTTATATACATTAGATATTAAATTTTGTTTTGAATGTTTTTATTGACACTAATAGATTTCTTAGGGGAAAGATTGTTCTCCAATGTTCTATTAATTCTGAATTTTACTAAATTTTGAGAGCAATAGCACAACTTTAATCTTTTGTATTTTTTGGTATGAGTATAAAAATGGTATCAGTTTTCTTAATCAGTTCTATTTCAGGTGGCTAAGTTTATAACATTTATTCTGATTTATTATTTATTTTCTTTTTAAGTTTCTTTTGGTTTCTCCACATTTCTTGATACTCATTTTTCAAATGTAGACAAATATTTTTAACATAAAGTTAAGAATTAGGCCTTAAATATGAAATAGTGTATAAAAATATTCATTTCCTTAATCTAAATCTTTAGCGGGGAGAGCTAACACAATTAAATTTTCATTATCTTTACTGAATATGGAGACCTCTCAACTAAAAATCCTAAGATCTAGAGTGACAAATAATAAATTAAGTTCAAATTAATTTTAAGCAACTTGAAGGCAAGTACTATTCATTCTGTCGTTATATATACCCACTGCTTAGCGTAGTCTTCTGAATTTTTTTTTTTTTTTGCACCACGTGCGTTTGAACTCATGGCCTCACACTTGCTAGGCAGGCCCTCTTACCACTTGAGCCACTTTGCCATCCCATAGCATTGTCTTCTGTTGAGTGTTATTCTGGTGTTTGTTGAGTGAATGAATGAATTTTGTATTTGTGTATGTAGTTGTATAGAAACAAAGCATTAGGGTTAGCAGTCTGAAATTTCTCTATATACAGTTGGCCCCCTGTATTTGTGGGTTCTCTATCTATACATACAACCAAAAAATTATGTCTGTGTTGAACATGTGCAGATTTTTTTTCTTGACATTATTTCCTAAACAACACAGTTTAACATCTATTTATATAGTATTAGATATTAAAAATAATTAGAGATGATTTAAAGTACATGGGAGGCTTGACTCATGCTTGTAATCCTAGCTACTTGGGAGACCAAGATCAAGAGGATTGCAGTTCAAGACCAGCCTGGGCAAAAAGTTCATGAGACCCCCATCTCAAAAAATCTCAGGGTATGGTAGTGTATGCTTACCATCCCTCTTACTGCTTTCCCTGCTATGGCAGGAAGTATAAAATAGAATTTTGGTCTAGGCTGGCCTGGGTAAAAGAAAGTGAGTCCTTGTCTCCAAAATAACCAGAGCAAAAAGGGCTAGAGGTATGGTCCAAGCTGCAGAGTACCTGCCTACCAAGTTCAAATCCCAGTACCACCAAAAAAAAAAAAAAAAAAGAAATAAAAAAAGAAAAAGTCTATTGGAGGATATGCATATATATGCAGATACAGTGCTGTTTATATAAGGCATTTGAGTATCCATGGATTTTGGTGTCTGTGATGGTTAAGGAACCATGGATACCAAGGGATGACTGTATGTGGATTTTTATTCTTTCATTCTGAAGTTGCTTTACTTTACCTGATTTTGTTTTTCTCTTCTTCCTTCTTTGACTCTAATATCAAAGGCCACGAAGTGCTGTCTTTTGCATCTTAGACCCTGTATGAAAGTGTGTTTAATGAATGAATAAATAAAATATGCCTAAATATGACATTTAAAAGTAACAATTTTATTACAGTATTTAACATTCACAATTTTTAAAAATTGATGATGTATTTTATTTACCTTAAAAATCTTAGATTGTATTATTATTGTATGCTGAATTTGTAGCCCTGATAGAAAAAACAAATTTCTTCACTTTGATCAGGAAATTAGCTATGAAAAAATACATTTTTTTGTTTTTGTTTTTTTTCCTGGATATTGGAAAGCACTTATGTTAGACATTATCATTACTATTGTAGTTTTAAAAATATTTTTTGACTTGAGCCTTTTACTTTCCTTCTCAAAATGTGGGGAATATATCAGTTCATAACAACAATGCTTATAAGGTTTCAAAATAACTTTTAGTTGACTGTCTAGGGTACATTAAAAGTGAAAAAAAGAAGTTAATTTTCCTTTGAAAGGATGATTGGAGGATTTTATTTATGATTTTTGTAGATTTGAGATAAAGGGTTATTTCTGTAGGTTTGTAACATTAATGGAA